CCCTCCGGGCCAGGGCGTAAGGGCCCCTGGGGGCTGGAGCTGGGGCTTGGCCGGGTGCTGCGCCGCGTGGGGAGCATTTGATCAGCTCTTCACTCGCCGTCCGCGACAAACTAATTTTATCGAGCGTCGATAATGGAACAGCCATCGCCTTCGCCGCTGCAGCTCAAAACCCATTTCGCGAGATTATTAGGAGCCCCCGCGCCGTCTGTGTGCGTAGGTGGCGCGCAGATGAGAGCGGAGCCAGGGCGACGCGCGGAAACAAAAGCGGGCCGGCGGTAGCCAGCTCAAATATTGACTGTGTGCTTGTCAAGTCGGCGAGTGGGTTTATCGACGCAGATAAGGTGGCCGCGTTGGCAGGGGCCGCGCATGTCGCGCACGCGCACCAGGATATAATTGGCCGCGCGTCCACCTGTGACGCTGCCGCAGGGCCGCTCCCCCGCGCGAAGCCACGGCCTCCAGGACACCGAATTGCCCTTTGCGCGAGCCCCGCGCATTCCACTTGCTGCTGCTGCGTAATTAATTGTGATCGTTATGTCAGTCGAAATCGTCTACTGCTGTAATATCTTGTTGTATTTCATCAAAGGCCACGTACGATGGAGTCAATATTCAACATGAATACATTCAGATCCTGAGAGAACGTTCGTTATACAGCTATTAACACAATTATTAATATTTTCGATCAATTAGTGAAGTTTGGTTACATCTTACGTTTTTTATGACCGGACCTTTACTGACCATTTGTGGTTGCGTTATCATCCCGTCACCCTACACCCTGTCACATAGATTCTAAAATAATTTCAAATATCTCGAATAAAAGATCTTTCACGTGTCCACCGTTCACTTTCAGGATCCATATTCAAATTGTGTAGACGAATTGATTGAAATAAATTCTTTAATAATGGCGGATTCGTTTTTATTGTAGATAACACAAAACAAAACAGATTTGTAAAGCAATATTGGCACGATTTTTTGTTTTTAAAACTGTTGTCACCCTGTTTAAATGGCTCCACCAATAACAAGCTTAGTGCGACACAGCAACTCTTCAAATTTCTTATTATTTATTAAATAAATATTTAATAAAATAATAGTTGTATATTTTTGATATCTGCGAGTTCATAATGAAAATAAAATTACTTGATTGGCCCGTCCATCCTTTAGCGTACAACATGAAAGGATCGAATATAGCTCGAAATTAAACAATACAAAATTTACTCCAAAAGAAGAACTTTTAGGATTTAAACTCTGGTATATTTTTATTTTAAAATAAATTTTGTTTAATAATGTTAAACATTATATTTAACTAGCGTACTCGTGCGAGAACCCTCGCATATTAAATACAACCCTGTTCCTTAACCCTGTTTTCTTTTTGTCACGCACACTATTATTACATTTCAAAAATAATATAATTACCACTTAAATACTGTGTATTAGGGACTGTTGCCACCAATAGAGAGTATTACTCGCGCAACTTTTCTTGAACGATGGATTGAAGAAATGCGGGTGGAGTGGGGGTATTAGTTTCGTAATCAGTCACTAGATTTTATGAAATTAGAATTTTATCTCTGGAGAATCAGTCATGCCTTCGTAACTTTCCCAATAATTTGCGTTCTAACTTTCTCAGGAGTTCGAGGTATCTTCTGTGATGTATCTTTACCTGCTTCGGTCATTTCTTTAGATTTTTTTGAAGAAAAATACAGACAGTTCTCGTCTTCAATAGAAAATAGTTTCTATTTTGCGCCAGTGAGGATGTGTTTCGAATGTTGTCTTCAGTGCTCGCTGCGAGCGTTTGTCTTCAACTGTTTCTTGTGCCAGAGAGGGGGAAGCAAAGTTCCCCGAGAAGTACTATTAAATTTATTAATTTAAAGATTACTAAACACTCTTTAATGATTTAAACTACATTATTTTTGTGTTTATTTGTATTTCATTCATTCAATTAATCAGTGAATTGATTATTTCACTTCGTATTGCTCCTGCTAGACATTAATTTTCCAACTAACGCATTCTGACTCCAAGAAGTGCTACCGCACGCCACCACCCAAAGTGCAGCGTTCGCCTGGCTCTCGCTCTCGCTCCTGGCGCTCCGGGCCTCTTGCTGTTTTCTATACCTCCCTCACTTGTAAGAGCTTTGTTTTTAAAGGGAAATGGTATTGTTCTCACCTGCACTTCTACTGGCACATTTACTTACGCGAAACTACAAAACAAATAAAAACGTGAACAAGTGAACGGTTGCACTTTATACATAGAAAGTAATCTTCATTGGTATTAAGCAGCTATTAATACTTCTAATTGTTTCTGCAAGAATATGTAGGTTTATTTTGTATAATCTTGAATATGAATAATTTGATGATGATGAATATGATTAATATACAAAATTTCATAATCTTGATTATGGAAATAAATTTCATCAAACACGGTGTACGTGGTAAAATAAAACTCATTATGGCGCAAACCACAGTGTCCACAGAAAGCATAAATATAAGTTTGAGAAACTAAGCCTTCTGCGAGTGACGTGCCAAGCAAAGGTCGCCCCCAGCGCCGAGTAATAGAGTTGCTACTGGGTAACATCGCAGCGCCAGACCAGCAAACATTTAATAGAATGTCTAATAACATGTCATTGTGTATATCATGGCACGGAGGCCTTTAGACTCAAAGTTCCCGGTTTTAAGGTCCCTGTACCCCAATCAAACCCCGGGGCATGGAAATGGGAGGCGGTTGGCTTCCATTGGCCTCGTACCAATGGAAGAGTCGCCATGATCATCTCAGTGTAGATGCCATCAGTGTCCGGCGTTTCACCCATTTTGTCCTGCAACAGGAGCTTTTAGTTCTTTCATTGTGAAGTCATCTGTTGTTTCTCCGCCATAACTCTCCTACAACTGATTTCGAAGTTCTGTTTGATCCATGTTATCTCCCAATTCATGGCTCTAGCTCGACTATAACACGCGTGGCGCTAATGATGGAAAAGGGCGGAAGAGGCAAAACGTTGCTGAATGGCGGTGGGGAGAGCTCCCGATTGATTTAATTTTATGACGAAAATTGAAGTAAAGGCGCTAATAGGTGTTACAATGTGGTTGCGAGAACCGCTTCAACTCAAGGAAACTGCTCGAGGCATGGAAATGGATGACGATGGATGTAAATTATGAAAGAAATTGAAATACCATGTGCCTAAAGGTTGTTTCACGGTTTTGGAGAAACCCCATACAATGCACTAACCATACCCGAGGCACGGCAATGTATGATTGAATTAAAATTATGAAGAAAATGGAAGCAAAGGCGCTGAAAGACATTTGAATGTAGTTCGGTGAGCATCTCAATTGCAGAACAATGCCCGAGACATAGAAATTGATGACGATGGATGGAAATTTTGAGACGTGAATGGAAGAAAAGGTCTGTAAGGGGTTTGGGACAACCTATCAATGACTGACCCACGTCCAAGCAATCCATGGCGTCCACGTCCAAGTGGCTAAAAATTGTTGCAAGGTAGTTGAGAGTACCTCTTCAACTCCCACCAGCCACAATAATGCCCAGTGCATTGTCGTGGGTGGGAATGACTATAGAATTATAAAAACAAATAGAAAAGGGGCCAAAAGTTGGATCGAGGTAGTTCGGAAAACCCTTCAAAGTCGCGACCTTGCTCCAGGCATGGGCATGGATGGCGATGGGTGTAAATTTAGGAAGAGCATGCAAGGAAAGGGGCCAAAAGGGCACGTGCTGCTCGGGAGGGCGCCTCCATCACAACCATGCATGGAAGTGGTTGGCGATGGATAAACGTTACAAAGGGGTTGGAAAGAAAGAGGCTAAAATGATACAAGTTGGTTGGGAGGGCCCCTATATCACAACAATGTGTGACACGTGGTAATGGATGGCGATGGATGGAAGTGCTCGCGAGTGGCTCAGAGCGAAGTCGCTCGCCTTTCACAAGGAGATACGGGTTCGATTACCGTCGGTTACCAGACAATCCCATGTGAAATTTGTTCCAACAAAACGAGTGCAGGAGCTTCACAAGAGCTAGTGACTGTGAACCCCTGTGAAGTGTCCCGTACTCTACCCCTATCCTAATTCCTTCGCAATTCTGGCCGCGCTGTAGGGATGCAGGAACGCGCAAGGCAGAGAAGCGCGTAAGCGGAGGTGCTACCTGGCGGACCTCTTAACAATGACGTACGGGATACTTACGACTCACCATATTTATTGTAATCCCCTTTTGATCTCACCTATTTTGGAATAACCATCCCTGGTCGACCCACTCACCCCTTCCCCGGCGTCGGCTTCGCAGCCAGCGTGCCCGGCCGTTCCTGCGTGATGCGAGGGGTATTCGGGTTTGTGCGAACATTGGACATTGAAACGAAGATAGTAATAATAATGAGTTTAATTGGTTAAAAGATGGTGATCTTTTATGTGCATTTTTGTTCATATTAGAAAAAAGAAATGTGTGTCTGATTTAAATTCTCTTCGCTTCATTCATACCTGCAAATATATTTTTTACGGCGATACCAATTTTGAAATTGCAATATTACCAGTTCATATCTCGTATGGAGTTAACGTGCAAAGGCCATACGGTATTGGGGATTTTTGAACGTGAGTATAACATTATCAGCTACTGCAATTCATTGGTATATCCAATGTCAGAGACAGTAAGAACTCATTTGAACGAAGATATATATGACATTTAGAAATGCGCATGAGAACACTTTTAACACAGTTTACAGCGTTGGCGACGCGAGATTCAACTAGTTCAAATTTAAAACAATACAATTTTCAAACATATTTCATTTCGTTACAACTATAGATTGCAAAACGGGAGTATATTTTCTATGTATTCGGAATAGTCTGTCTACTGTTTATGCTAGGCTCGTGTTGCAAGCATATCTGTGAATGGAAGTCTGGAATATAAAAATCGGAGGTTGAACACTCTTGAGTTTTTAATGGCAAATAGAGAGTATAATAAATTGCATCTCTTATTGAAAAAAGACAAAGTAGATGAGAATGTTATTTTATTAAATGAAAAATACAGTTTGAAAGACTTTTTGTTTATTTTAGACCTAGGAATAAGCAAGACTTTATTTACTTTCATAGTTTCTATTGTAATTTGTTTCATTTTACTAATCAGATATAAGTTACCAAAAGTGAAGATATTTCTTCTGATACTTGTGTATTTCGTAAGCAATACAACAATGTAAAAATGCATTTAATTTGTTACAGAAACAATAAATTGCAAAAAAAGTAAATATATCATACCTTATAAATACAATAAATTTATATACTATGGAGACCATTAACAATAATCAAAATTCAACTATAGAGAAAGGAGATTATAAATATTGACGCTGTAAGATTGTCCTTTGCGTTGCATTCAGATCCACTTACAATATGGATTCGTATGTTTTCCATCAGAGACCTTGATTTTTCTGTAAACTGTTATGTAATTTTCATTATACCAAATGGCGAAAAAATACATTGCCAAGTGAGCTTGTTCTTCTTCTTCTTCGTTTATGGTGGTCGTCTTGCAGAGGGCGAGGTCAGGGGCGCGGCAGCGCGGCGCTGTAGGAGCGGTCGCGTGAGAAGACGCGCCCGTGCACGGCGAAGGTGAGCAGCGACGCGTCGAGCGGCCGCGTGGACGCGATGGCAGCGCGCACGCGCTGCGACCCCGGCGCCTCGGGCAGCGCGCGGAAGCGGTAGGCGGCGGCCGGCAGTGGCATCAGCGACTCCGCCGCCAGCGTGTTCGGTTGCTGCGCACCCACCCGCTCATCACCACTGCTCCTCTCGGCCAACAAGGCGGTCGCTTTCGCTCCGTAGAGGCGACGCCAACAGAAGGAATCTTACTCAAAAGCGTTTGTGCAAGATTACTTCTGTTTACCTCCCGAATTATGGATTTTAAAATAAAATCAGTCACGACCTTCAGACCTGATAGAAACGTTGAAAAAAAATTTCAATGTTGTACAAATGAATAGGATTTAAGACGTTCGCAAGTCTGTAATGACCAATTAAATGACAAATGACCGCTCACTATCCCTGTCTTTCGTTGAGAATGATGTTAAAATATATATTTTATAAATCTTTAGAAGCATTTAATGGGAATGTCAATGAAACATCAACTTTTAAAAACCCTTCAGGAATGTCATTTAGAACAGTTTATTTTTTATTTATTTAGCAAAATAGAATCTTTTTTAAAATTTCATATTTTGGCAGAATCAATTTTCCATTTCTTTGTGAAGTCCTTTTAAAATACTTCGTTTGTTTTCAAATATCCATTACACATGCATTTTGGTAAATATTAATGCTACTTTGTCGCACGTGTTTATTTCTGTTCGAAATAAATTCAATATTTTCGTAATTTTATTAATATATTTTTCCACAAAATTTTGATAAAGCTAAGAAATGTTACTGCATCATTTTATTTGAGAAAATGAACATTGGCCCTCCTACAAGATAGAAGTACATGAAATAAAAAATAAAATAAGCTGTGAGCCAGCATCTATCGTAATCAATGAAGTTGGAATATGGTACAAATGAAACGAAACAAATATTTCCAAAAATTAAAATTGTTATTGAATTTGACATGTAATCTCACATCAAAAATGCAGGGATTAGCGAGTGCAAGGACCAGGACGATAAAAGAGCAATGGTGAGGGCGAAGAGGAGTTGGAGTGGACCAAAGAGGATAAGGAAGAGGGCAGTGGGCGAGGGGGCAGGGGAGAGCGCTCGGCCACTTACTTGGAGGGCGCGGGCGCGCTGGAACCCGGCGGCGCGCACGGAGATGCGCTTAAAGCGCAGGCCGGCGACGGCGCGGGTGTCGACGCCGCCGCACGACAGCAGGTCGTTGGCGTCGAGGCAGGCGACGACGCCGCACGCCTGCTCGCCCAGCGCCGCCAGCGTCGCCACGGGCATCATGCCGTCGAACGCCACGGCGCGGTAGAAGTAGCGCGGCGCGCGCGCGGCGGATGGCGGCGGCGCCTCCGTCAGCGCCTCCACGCGGCAGCACAGCGAGCCGTGGCACAGCGTGGTGTTGAAGACGCCGCCCGCCGGCGGCAGCAGCACCGTCGTCCACGCGCTCAAGTCCTCCTGCGCAGGAGAAGAAGCACGCAGCATGCGATAACCGGAACTCTTTGCTCCCTTGCATTGGTCCCCACCAATGTTCTCCATCCAGCCCACAGTGGGGAACGCCTCCCCGCCGGTGGCACCCATTTTGTTCTTCGTTTGGCAGTCGAAGTTTGATGTCAGAACGATTGTAACTGATGGGGCGCTACATATTGTTTCCTTGAGTCACATAGCGATAGAATATTAACTTTTACTATCGATTAGTGCATGACAATTGGTTTATATATCAACAAAGGTATTTATTATCAGTTAACTATTGATCACATCATTAATTTCTTTTTTTCACCAAATTCCCCTTCTAGTTTAGCTTCCTTGATATCATTGAACTTGCTGATGATTATCTAACAGGAAAGTCCAATCCCAAAATTCTGTATGTTATCAGCAAAATTACCAAGTAACCAATGATAAGTGATCAGCGAGGTTAGTTCGTATGATTGCTTGCAAGCGTTGATGGCAGTAGGTCCTCACCCGGTACAACAGCAGTTGGCCGGCTGTGCTGGTGCGGAGGGGCGGCTCTGGCAGCGTGAGGTTGTACAGCGTGGGCGGCGCGGGCGGTGGGGGCGGGGGCGGGGGCGCGGGCGGCGACGCCGGGCGTTTGGGCACCCGCACGCGGAGGACGGTGGTGCCGAACTGCTGTTGCAGCACCGCCCGCATGGCGCCCCGGTCACCCCAGTAGATGCCGGAGCCCGTCTGGCTGCCGCTGGGCCGGTTCAAGCCCGACGAGAGCAGCGTCACGTTGGTCGCATGTGCCCAGTTGCCTTGCAGCTGGATGGCTGTGCACGTGGGCGGACACACACTATTAAACACCGGTGGCCTGCAGCCCCACAAAAGCTTTCGTACTTCAAAAGAAAGAACAACAACAACAACAACAACAACAACAAATAGCATACTCTCGTAAAGCACTGCAAAACTTTCAATTTTTACAGAAACCGTCTTCACGACAATTGCTATATAATAGCGTAGTACTAGTACAATCGTTCTTTACATTTCAAGAATATAAAAAATGTTACTGTTTCATAACGCATAACGCAAAATGTGCGTTAGTATGAAAATTGGTGGAATAACATAACATAATATTTGTATTTTTTCATTGAAAATCGAATTCGGATTTTTCAAGAGTTTCTACGAACCTAAGCAAGACATAAACCTTCTAACAATGAAGGACAGTATAGTTTTATTTCAATTTCTGCGCGCAAAGCAAATTAGGAATGTAGAAGATATAGTTAATTGAATTCAAATATTTACTCCCAATTTCCTTCACGTTTCTTATTTTGTGTACAATACACAAATTTTTCACTTCGCTCTGAGTAGAGGTGCATCTAGATTGTGTAAATATATTTTATTTGTTGACTTATCATATGTACGTTGTAACGTTAACAATTGAATCTATGATTTGAAAAGGTAAATAGTTTCTTGTTCTCTAATTAAGAAAATAAAAAAAAATCAATATAAAAATAATAACATCTACAATGTGCATCTGGAACATATATGTTCCACTCAAAATTTGCTCGGTGGATGTTGATTGCTCGGTCAATTGACTGCTTGGATCTCTCTGTAATTTTGTAACTCCGCAACTTTAAATTCGCATTTCTATTATTGAACTTGGAATCAATATAATCATTGAATAAATATATATTGATGTGCGTTAACATATTGTACTATATTGTAACCTATACCTATCTGTGGTTGACAGATGCCAACGCTGTATTTAATTCGCGCGGGCAGTACTCTCTGCAAGAGGTTGGAAACCCCTATTTATATATATTCTGAGATAATTTTATTGTAGAATCCGTGCCGACCGGCGTGGTAGGGAGCAACAGGGGAGAAGGCTTTGAGACGCGAGAGAGGAAGGCTGAAAAGTGTGCTGTTGGACAGTGTTGGTGAGCGTGGTGAGAACGAAGAAGAGAAACGGACTTGGAAGATGCTGCGCCTAGGTTTACGGGCGTCCATTTCTGACACTACATTGCCGTGTAAGAACCCGGATCTGCGCGGGGACGTATATTCGACCACACCAGCCCGCTGACCGTCGCAAGCTTCGCGCCGTTGGGCGAGGCAAGGCCCCGAGAAGAGGTCGGTAATATTAGTCTTTCCTATTTCTTTTCTCCTTATCTTTCGCCACGAACTTGCTATGACTGCGAGAAGCATCGAGTTCGCTAAGACGTAGCAGGCTCTTGACAGTATTTTCTTTGGGCCCCAAGACACCGCTTTATCGATTAGGTGCAGTGGTTCCATTTCATGACATCCTCCAGTGTAAATAGCGGTCATTATGCCCTGCATAAGTAAAAAGTAAATACAGAAAGCAACAACCCAATTTAAGTTAATGTTGTAATGAGTGTTCAAAAAGTGCATATAACTTGTATTATTGTATTTAAATTTGTTAATTTGTCAATTTTTTTTCAAAAGAGAAGAGAAACTTTATGTTAGATCACTTTTGTTATTGTAAAAAGGGTAATTTTTGTTTTGTTGTTTAAAAATATATATATTTGGGTTTGGGTTTTCTTGATACAAACAAGTTAGAAATTGGTTTCGATATAGCTCAAAAATGAAAAATACTTAATACTTTCACTACATAAATAATCTATTCATCATCGATTTCCACTTGAGTCTATGGATACGTCCAAAAGAAATGAAGGTATTGAAATCTTGACTTCAAAAGAGTCACACCACACTCACAATGAGCACTGCCAGTTCGAGCAAGCGACTTGGTTGTCTTCTTAAAATAGTTCGACCTCAGGTTTTGATGTCTATGATGTTCTGAGTGTTTATAACTGTTCTTCTGAACCATTTCGTTTAGGGGTTTCCAGTGACGTAGTCTGAGTTTTACCTTAGGGTATGTAACCCGAGAAATGAAAAAAATAATTTAAAACTCCCAAATAATCCTTATTCACCCGTGTACGAGATTTTAATGTGTGTCTTCAGTGCTTTGTAAAACATTATTTAAAACTGCATATCGTTATTGAAATTTAACACTTTTTTCGTTTGAGAATAGATCACCAAATAGCATTTTAAGACCTTTACCACCGCAAATCTACAAAATTACTCATAATTTTGTTATTAAAATGCCTGTCATTTTTACTTTCCCGTATACGTACGTATATACGTAGCAGTATATGTAGTATAGGAAAAGTTATGTAATGATCCGGAAAATCGATTACGAAATTTCAATGAAAATAAAATGGGGTCCCGTGATACCGAAAAAGTGGTCATTTTTAAAAAGTCCGTTTTGTCTGGGACCGTGCTGACCGTCTTTTGGGAACCGTCTTTTGACCCGTCTTGGACCTGGAACCGTTTCTGGGGGGGAACCGGTCTTTGGACTCTTTGGACCGGTCTGTCCGTCCGGGAAAAAACCGTCTGTCCGGTCCCGGGAACCGTCTGTTCGTTCCGGGACCGGTCTGTCCGTTCCGGGACCCCGGTCTGTTCCCGGTCCCGAACCGGTCTTGTCCGGTTCCGACCGTTTCTGTCCGTTTCCGTTCCGGGCACCGGTTCTGTTCCGGTCCGTTTCCGGGGGGACCGTCTGTCCGTCCGTCCGACCGGCTGTCCGTCCGTCCGACCGTCTGTCCGTCCGTCCGACCGTCTGTCCCGTCCGTCCGACGTCTAGTCGTCCGTCCGACCGTACTGTCCGTCCGCCGACCGTACTGTCCGTCCGTCCGACCGTCTGTCCGTCCGTCCGACCGTATCTGTCCGGTTCCGTCCGACCGTCTGTTCCCGCTGCGACGTCTGACGCGGTCCGTCGACCGTCGTCCGTCTGACCGTTCTGAACGTCCGTTCCGTCTGACCGTCTGACCAGTCGTCGTCTGTCGTCTGTCCGTCTGTCCGTCTGTCCGTCTGTCCGTCTGTCCGTCTTCCGTCTGTCCGTCTGTCCGTCTGTCCGTCTGTCGTTCGTCCGTCTGTCCGTACTGTCCGCTCTGCATCCGTCTGTCCGTCTGTCCCGTCTGTCCCGTCTGCTCCGTCTGTCCGTCTAGTCCGTGCTGTCCGTCTGTCCGTCTGTCCGTCTGTCCGTCTGTCCGTCTGTCCGTCTGTCCGTCTGTCCGTCTGTCCGTCTGTCCGTCTGTCCGGTCTGTCCGTCTGTCCGTCTGTCCGTCTGTCCGTCTGTCCGTCTGTCCGTCGTCCGTCTGTCCGTTCTGACCGTCTGTCCGTTATCTGTCCGTCTGGTCCGTCTGACCGTCTGACGTCTTGACCGTCTGACCGTCTTCATGCGTCTGTTCTGACCGTCATGTCTGACCGTCTGACCGTGCTGCTCTGACGTCTGACCGTCTGACCGTCTGTCTGACCGTCTGTCTGGACCGTCTTGTCTGACCGTCGTCTGACCGTCTGTCTGACCGTCTGGCTCTGACCGGTCTGGTCTGACGTCTTGTCTGACCGTCTGTCTGACCCGTTCTGTCTGACCGTCTGTCTGACCGTCTGTCTGACCGTCTGTCTGACCGTTGTCTGACCGTCTGTCTGACCGTCTTGTCTGACCGTCTGTCTGACCGTCTGTCTGAACCCTGGGACTGACCGTCGTGTCTGACCGTCTGTCTGACAGTCTGCCTGACCGTCTGTCTGCACCGCTGTCCCTGACCGTCGGTCTTGACCGTCTGTCTGACCGTCTGTCTGCGACGTCTGTCTGACCGTCGTCTAACCGTCTGTTCTGACCGTCTTTCTGCACCGTACTGTCTGACCGTCTGTCTGACGTCTATCTGACCGTCTGTCTGACCGTCTGTCTGACCGTCTGTCTGAACCGTCTGTCTGACCGTCTGTCTGACCGGTCTGTCTGACCGTCTGTCTGGACCGTCGTCTGACCGTCTGTCTGACCGTCTGGTCTGACCGTCTGTCTGACCGTCTGTCTGACCCGTCTGTTCTGACCGTCTGTACTTGAACCGTCTGTCTTGACGTCTGTCTGACCGTCTGTCTGACCGTCTGTCTGACCGTCTGTCTGACCGTCTGGCTGACCGTCTGTCTGGACCGCCTGTCTGACCGGTCTGTCTGACCGTCTGTCTGACCGTCTGTCTGACCGTCTGTCTGACCGTCTGTCTGACCGTCTGTCTGTCCGTCTGTCTGTCGTCTGTCTGTCCGTCTGTCTGTCCGTCTGTCATGTCCGTCTGTCTGTCCGTCTGGTCTGATCCGTCTGTCTGTCCGTCTGCTCTGTTCCGTCTGTCTGTCCGTCTGTCTGTCCGTCTGTCTGTCGTCTGCTCTGTCTGTCTGTCTGTCCGCTGTCTGTCCGTCTGTCTGTCCGTCTGTCTTGTCCGTCTGTCTGTCCGTTCTTCTGTCCGTCTGTCTGTCCGTCTGTCTGTCCGTCTGTCTGTCCGTCCTGTCTGTTCCGTCTGTCTGTCCGTCTGTCTGTCCGTCTGTCTGTCCGTCGTTCTGTCGCGTCTGTCGCCGTCTGTCTGTCCGTCTGCTGCTGTCCGTCTGTCTGTCCGTCTGTCTGTCCGTCTGTCTGTCGTCTGTCTCCGTCTGTCTGTCCGTCTGTCTGTCCGTCTATCGTCCGTCTGTCTGTCCGTCTGTCTAGTCCGTCTGTCTGTCCGTCTGTCTGTCCGTCTGTCTTGTCCGTCTGCAAACACCACTAGCGCCTAAACCATACGTAGGATGTTTTCCAAATTGAAGAACCTCCTGTCAAATCTGATTTCGGTGTGTGTTCTGCTTATGGTCGGAATCGCATGTACGGAACATCGATAAAACGTGCTCTACACTTTGACTGTGGCGACTGCACGCACTGCGCTTACGGTATATTAAAAAATACTTCCTATGTGCTTGGTGTTCTCAGTATAAATGCATATTTTGTCTACTGTCTACACAAGTGCATAATAAATGAAGATTCTCTATCCAATGCAGACGGCCAACACTTTTATTTTATTGTTTTACGGAGAAATCTATGTTTTGGCAAGAAGTCTTTCGGAGACATCAGAGGTAGTGCGCTGTTGCTGAGTCGCGTAAAAGATAACCTTCCAATCCCCATTCGCTAAAAATTTTCACTTGATTTTAATTATTTGTTTTACTGTCGTCAAAGTTTGTTTTATCGTCATTTGTTTTATTGTCGTAAGAATGTCACGAATGAGAGAAAATAATCTGCACATCTTTTCTTGAGCTCCAGAATCTCTTCCTCACCCTTTAGCGAAAATAGTTGAATGATGAATAAACGTATCAAGAAAACAAAGTTATCAACATTTGAAATAGACGCTATTGCTTTCAAGTTATAGAAAAATAATATTTGTTTCGGTCAGTAACTCAAGATTTGATTTGATTAAAAAAATCTGATGCATACTATTACATGCAGCGAAAGGAGCTCAACAAAACGTGCAAAGTGAAGCTACTTTTATGACCAGGAGCCATCTCAGCATTTGCTCAATGGATCAGGAAACTGGACGAAATCATGATCGAGATAGGGGATATTGACCCAGAAGCAGAAGGACATTACTTGATACATGCATAGTCTTTTACAAATTATATAGTACAAATGTTATCTAATGTATCATTAATAATATAATTTTTTTTAATATACATTTTTCATTTTGATGGTCAGTATAGTCTCTGATTGTCCAGAAACAGTTGTGCAGTAGAAAACAACTTTGTACTTAATAATGTGTTTGTATTTTATTATTTAACTAGTGAACACGACAATGCTTCGCTATTGCAGCGTCCTTAGTACACACTACTGGTCATATGTATTTAATCGCGTTTTACGCTACGCCGTGTAAAAATTCCAATAGATGAAAACCGTTCACGCATGTATGCGTTTGTTCCATGTCCTGGTGTGACCATGGTTGTCAAGTAACCTATTATTAAAACGTACTCCCTCGAATTTGGGCAAGCGTTTGCTATGACACAATCTTGGAGAAATTCGATTTACGTGTCTGAAATTCAAGTAATATTTCGTCCGATATTTCACAGTCGCTATGGCAGAATACTTGTATGCAGTGAAGACGCGCTTCGCGGTGCGGCGGGATGCGTAGAATTCAGAGAGCTTGCGTCGTCATAAATGAAAAAACCGTCAACAGTGCCTCCGCCAACGCGTCAGATTTCATTCAAACTACTCTGTAAACATTCCCATTACTTCTTCTGCCTTCAAGGATTAGGGCGATACCTGTTCCGGCCTCTCAGTCCATCTTCTTCTTGGGCGATCTGGATCTCTTCTTCCTCGGGACCTTGCTTCTCTTGGGAATCTTCCATCGCTCATTCTTGCTAGGTGTTCTTTGCATATCGTTTTATTTTCTTCTATACGAGTGGATAGGGAGAAGATATTGAGTTTACTTCGTATATCAGTTTTTCTTATTCTATCGAGTACTTTTAACTGATCTCAGGAAGCCATCTCAGCTGCCTGAAGTCGTAGGCTTCCGCGGCCAGAGTCATGTGGGGGATCTGGGCTCTCCGGATGACGCCGCGTCGAAGGCTGAGTTGCCGACTTCATACCAGCCCTGAGGAAGACCACGACGGGATGTCATATTCGTAGCTAAATGAAAAGACTCTTGCAGGAGTCATGTGGAATCCCATTTGCTTATTTTTCGTACATCTTTTTCTGACACTTGTAGTACAGTTTCTGACTTTTGTAATAATATTTATTACTTATAAATTAGAATTTATAAGTCTTGGAATAATATTATTCCAAGATATGTCTATCTATGAATATGTATTTATGGACCCTAATTCCTTCATAATGTACAATTAAAATAAAATACTTAAAAAATATGTTCAATTGTTAGATGTGTTACTAAAACAATTCATTGTAACCAACATCTTAATTTTGCTGGCCAAAGGGGTTAGAGGCCAACAGTCAGTGAAGAACGGGACCAGGATGTGTTTGTGTGACTTGTTTCCATTTCAACTGGTAACCTATGATTGTCTCATATTTGAAGATACTGAAAAATTAATAACATTTATCAATAGACAATCAACAAGATAAATAGGTGACATATTTTCAAGTTTTTAATTTTTATTCAGGCTCATTAGGCGTGGTCATTCGTTCTTTACGAGTCTGATCGCTCAGGCAACTAGTCTTTCCGCGATCGCGCGTGTATGCCGTGTGTTGTGGTAGGTAAACATTCGTTTATGTTTGTGGCCCTGCAGATCGAGTGTCTTTATTGTGGGTTTCTTGATCACTTGCAGGTGAACACCGGAACGTCCCCCACTACGACGAGCCTCGCACCGCGCGCAGTCTTTCTTTCCCCGATGGGACGATCCCCACATGCCAAGCCCTGACGATGTAGGAAAGTATCCAAAAGGCGTCAGAGATTGAGTTACGAATTTCACTGGGCGTTTGCCTTGTTGGCGCTCGTCGACTCACCGGTGAAGAAGGGCGGGGTGGAGAACCAGGCGGAGTTGTGCAGGATGTCCGTGGCGCCCATCTCGCGCACCGCCTTCAAGGTGGGGTCCTCGAACATGATGTCGAAGCAGATGAAGGTGGCGAAGCGCACGCCGAAATCCGAGTCGAATACGGGGCGTTGGCCTTCGCGGCCGCTGTTGAAGCCGGGCTCCACGTACAGGTGGGTCTTGCGGTACCTGCGCAAAAGCATAGCCGGCTGCAGAAATCGCTAAAACGAATTAACTTTTCATTATCATAAAAACGACGAATGTGCATAAAACGTGTAGTACCAATGCCTTTATGTAAACATCGTCCTTCCAAAACTCTCAGTTAGATAAAGTTCTATAGACTTTTTTAACAAAAAAAAATACATACATTAAAATGTATGGGAATTTTTAGAGCAATAATAATAATAATAATAATAATAATAATAATAATAATAATAATAATAATTTATGAAGTTAGTAGCTCTTCAAAGTATCTTGACGTTTCCTTTTTTCCCTGTCATTTCCCAACAAAACTTTTTATTTGTTATAACTAGTAGAGCTACAACAGCACATACTTTCTCGCGTTATTGGAAACAGTTACGTAATATTGAAATATTTTCCTTTTTCTGCACTATTAACCCCTCAGTCATTATTTCAAAACTTCCAATTCAGCCAAGCGAGCAACGCATGTTGCCAGAGCAGCGTTGTCAAAACTATGTGAATTCGCTTGGCTATCAATACAGTAATTAGAATATATGCTATTGACATGAAAATAATTACAAAAATTATGGCTGCTCATTTGTGAGTTGCCTTTTGTCGTAAGGTAACAGTTGCGATAGCGCTTCATTTCATCACCGACTTCTAACGACGACCCTTAAGATACGAATGAATACTATTGCTTTTCAACAAAGAGAGAGTCATATGGTGGCTCGGAAGAGAGATAAGATATAAACAACAAAAGTGCTACTCAAGAGCTTCTCAAATAACGAAGAGGTATTATTGCGAAATTTCTAATACGTTTTGTGGATTGCTTAAAAAGACACATCAATATATTGAGAGTACACATTGAGTAAAAAGGAAAAAAAACGAGAAAATAAAATATAATTAATATTGGCATTTTCAATGGAAAATTATAATTAAACTACTTGTTTTTTCAGAAAATTGTACATGACCTATTTAAAAGAGCTTATTTTGTACAACATTCTTTTTTGCAGACAAAAATCTATTTTTTCAAGTTTGTAGTTTTAAAATGTGTTTTGCAATTTTTGAAAAAACAAACAATACCGGAAAAATGTATTACATATGTGGAGAAAATTTGAGAAAAAAGTTTTTTTGAGAAAAAATTATAAATTTAAATCGCAATATAAGGAAAAACTATTCCTTTTTTCAAACAAAATTATACATAATCTTTTTTGAAGAATTAATTTTCTACAACAGAATTTGTCTGAGGCAAAAATCTTAATATTCAATTTTTTAGTTTTAAAATATCTTTTTGCAATTTTCAAACTACAAACCAATACTCGAAAATTGGTCTAGCGCAATTTTTTTACCGTATTTTATTACACAGGTGAAGAAAATTTAAAGGAAAAATTTGGAGCAATTTTTGAAAAAAAATCATACATTCCAATCGCAAATACCGAAAATCACTCAAATGTACATGACATTTTTTAAAAACTAATTTTGTTCAACAGAATTCGTTTGAGATAAAAATCTCTATCTCCAATTTTGAAGTTTTAATTTTTTTAAACTTCAAAAAATCGTGGATGTCAACGAGAATGAGACCTGCATTATTGTCGTAAACGTACTTTGCGAGACAAAAACGTTCAACTAAAAAATTCAATAAAAAAATTGAAATAATTTTTTTTTAAAAAATTCAAAACGTTGCAGAAGCTTCGTGTAAAGTACCCCCTAAAATTAAAATATTGGTTCAAAATGGCCGCGACATCAGCAAGAACGATTGAGGAATATCAATTTTGGAGAACATCAGCTGAACGGTTTATGTGCTAGCATTATGCCCAGGCGGCATAGACAGACACGCAGACGTTCGCAGACGTCAATCGATTTTTCGGTGTGAAGGACGCACAAAATATGGATTCTGGCTACACGACATGTTAGAGAACTTTTTTCTACATTTAGCAACTATATTTATAGCACTATTTCTTTTCCAAGGCTCGGCAATAAGTTTTTTGTGTCGAAAAGTTGCCGTTTTCTGGCGCACGTTTAGAATAATATGTTTTTACGTTAGTAATCGCGTGAAAGTAAATGTGCAATAAAAATGATACAACTAAATTTTCAACTTATTACGTATATTACGTTTTTCGAAGTCACATTCTTTACAATTGTGATGTTATTGAATAAATTTTTCTTTACGAATTGCGTGAAGCCTGCAATCGTCAATAAATTAATTGGTTTAATGCTCTTCTGACATATTAGACTGATGACGAAAAAACTAAAAATTTGTAGTGTTTGATAGCGGAAAATCTATTGACGGCAAAACTGTATCTGTCTGTTTGTCTGAGCACAACGCTAGCACATAAAAGGTTCAGCCGAATTTCTCCAAAATTAATATTGCCGAATCATGATGACGCATCCCCTGGAATTTGAAGCCGATATTTTAGTTTTGGGGATATTTTCCATTAGCCCCTCGGACATTTGATAGATATGATAATGGACGCAGAAGAGAATGGTGCAGATCTCATTTTCATTGATATCACTAATTTTTCGAAAACTACAAAAAAAAATTATCAGCATGTTCCTACAACTTAATATTGAAGACAAGAATTTTTCCCACATGAAATCTGTTCCTTAAAAACATATTGAAATGAGGCCACATTCAACTTTTCGAAAAAATGAGTAGTTTTCGTATAATTTCACACCAACTTTAATCGAATAATAATAATAATAATAATAATAATAATAATAATTATTATTATTATTATTATTATTAATAATATTATTCACTCATTAAATGTAGATTTTGTCTACAGACCGGTTCAACGTAACTTATTTCGTATTTTAAGAGGAACAAGAGTACTGCCGGACTGAGATTTTTGCGCCTCACCTGACGATGAGCGCGCCGGTGCGGTCGAAGACGACGTTGGTGTTGTAGATGAAGAAGCCGTCGGGCGGGCAGTCGGGCTCCCCCGCGCACGGTGCCTCCTCGGGCAGGTTGACGACGAGGTAGACGGCACTGCGGCGCGCGGCGCACGACGCGTTGCGCACCACCTGCGGAGGAGAGAGCGCGCGCGGCTTGTTGGGGTTCTGCCCCTTGTTGATTGGAGAAGCCGCGGCGGCGTACTCACGTCGGAGACGGTGGGCGCGGCGGGCGCGGGGGCGTCGCAGGGCACGGGGCGCGGGCGCGACGCGGGGTCCGGCACGCGCGACAGCAGCGGGCGCAGCAGCGGCCGCTCGCCAGGCACCTCCATGCCCGTCAGCCCCACCTCCGGGAACACCACCACGTCTGCGCCCTGCGCCGCGCCAGCAAATTACACGCATTAAGAAATACCGGGCAAGGCCGGTGCCTTTTCAAAATGTACACAGGTGATTGAACATAAATGTTAGAGACTTCTAGCACATGCAGAGGGGTCAACAATGATCACTTTTGCTAATGAACATGTGCTGAGAAAGTTCATAAAACTGAACTTTACGTGTGACCTTTTCCGCCGATTTTTACCAACTTATGCTCAGATGTTCGGCAGGCCTGATGGTGACATTGGCAAAATGGTCATTGGCAAAAGCGAGCGTCGCCGCCCTGGGCGTGCGGGAGGACTGGCCTTGTGCTCGTCCACGATGCGCTCCATGGCGGCCCAGTTGCGCGCCACCACCGCCAGCGCCGGCTCCGCCGTGGCGCGCCCGCGCGCCGCGAACTCCACCACGACGGCGTCGTAGTGCGCGGACTGCGGCGTCGCCCTCTGCAACCGGACACACCCAATCCTCCCAGCCACTTCGAACAAGGTCACGTTTCCACACCCACTCAGACGGGCACCAGGTAAGGCTGTGCGGATCTCTAACAGCGAAAAGCAGTAGCGGAGCCGGACGTAGCGCGTCATACTACTACTCAAAAGAAACTAATTTGAAACATTATATGGGAAATTCCACGTGAAATTGCCCGAAAAGATGCATGACCCCTTGCAATTGGTCTAAAAAATGTTTGACGTTACATCACATAAAAATGTGATGTAAAAAAACTTAGAAGTATCGTACTTACTGCATGTTTGACCTTTGACATTTTAAAAACTACTATGGTCATTGAGGCCACTGTAAATAAAACTAGGATTAACGATATCGGTATATGAACACACACTAACATATATGTCTCGGGTGGGATTCGAACCCGCGACCCTTCAAGCTGAGGCAGGTACGGCTGTGTGTGAATATAAGTACATAGGTAATTTCACGTCAAATCGCACACATTTAAAAAACATTTGACCTTGATGTCCCAGATTTGTAAACTTTTTTTCTTGGAAGAGTATAAGCAAAAATATAAAACGTGTATTTTGCATTTTCTCCCAAATATTAATTTTCAAACTTTTCGATAAAATGCCGGCATCGCCAATGTCAATTATTTTTAACTCGCGTTGAAATTGTAACAGAAATGTAATATTTTAATATCGTCCTCGACGAGGCGCTGCTGCCTTAGCTCTGTACTCAATTAAATTTTACTTAAAACTCCATCGAAGTATACTTTGCAACGCATACATTCTTAAGTATGTGCTTCCACAGTGCATTGAGGCACATTCGAATGTCCTACACACAGACTGCACCGGTACGTGTTGTACAGGCCCACTGTTGAAAACTACCCCGCGAGCCGCTGCGTGGCATTTGGTGCCGCTCGCGAGCGCGTGCTTGCATTTGGCCATCGCCCCGGCCTTGCAACGGCGCAGGAACGAAAGAGCACGCGCGGGCCGTGGCCCGCTTGACAGGGTACCGCTCCGGCATTCGCCTGGTGGCGATCGCAGAAACCTCGTACAACGACCGATCGGAGCAGAGCAGAGCAGCGGGCAACTCGAACCCAATGACCTCCAGGTCAGAGGCGCCCAGGCGCCGCAGTGGGGAAATGAATCGCCCTTTTTGTTGCACGTGGGACCCGATGTGTACATTCTATCGGCAACGCGAGGCGTTCCTTTCAGTTATTACGCAAACAAAAGTTGTAAGGCCATAAGGATTGGCCAGACCACCGAAGTCAATAAAAGCTATTTTTCAGAGATTCTGCGTATCAATAACACTGAAGAACTTACAGCTTCGCCCTCTGGAGTCAAACCACACATCATCGCCACTAGCAGGGCAGCCATCTTTAGCGACGCCATCTTCCCGCCTCCCTTGCAGAGGCTCTTGCACCAACCCTGAAACAAACGTAGGAACGATTCCTTGTTTTTTTCGGGAAAAGTCATACAGAGGGTCATAATCTGACCGGTATTAAAGTACACAGAGAAAAAGATGGAAAAATTATTCTAACTAGCTGTCATGACTAGACCTCAGATTTTAAGTCAAATTCCTATTTAGTTCCTTTAGAAGATTGTGGAATATAATTGCAGATGTTTACAAATCTTGAAAAAATAGATCTACTGAAGCATCTAATTCTCCCTAAAATCTCCTAAAAGAGCGGTTGATGTCCATTTTGATGTTGTTTTGGAGTAAAACTGCCTAGAACAAGTAATTTTAAAGAATTATAATAGTGCCATTACTCATTTTTAAAATGTGTAATGGCACTAATACCAAGACGCAAATACTTTAACGGATTTCCCGAATATTTCCTGATCGACGAATTCGCAATGGTCTGCGCACCGAAATCTCCCACCCAACCACCGAACGCCAGGAGCTCTGCCAGTCAATATAAAGGGAATGATCAGCACGCACTTCTCAGGCAATTGCGCCCACTCCCTGAGCAGCTGCGCTGTTGACAGGTCGAAGCTCAGTCCAGGCGACGAGAGTAACAGGTCAGGCTACAGTCTACTGTCGGAAAGGCCAATGTTGCAAACTAGGCCCAAGGAAGAAAAAGAGGGCCATTTCGAGTTTTCTTCTGTGTGTGTTGGTTCGGGTTGATCGTGATTATATACTGTGCTATTTAATTATGAAAGTGAATAAAATACTATGCTTGTAATTACTCTAATAAAGGAAAAAATTCTTGACTTTCATGAATAATAAAAATGCTTAAATTAATTCTTTTTTGACCAGTTATAGATGTCAGGAACATTACCTTTGATGTATAATGATTTTAAATAACTAATTTAATCATTTGAAAATTTATTTTAAGTGTCTAAAATGTCGATTTTCATACCTAATAGTGCCTAATTGCACAAGTTTCTTAGCTATTTTGGATAACTAAATTATCACTTTTTATGTCTAATATTACGAGATCTAGTCATGTCCATAATGTAAAATTATTTTAAAGAACATTATTTAAATCATGATTTAACCAATTTAATAAGTTACTAAGTATTAATCTCTAATCATTAAATTGGGAAAAAAACCTTCACATTCCTGGATACTACATTCAACGAGGTTATTGCTCAGGTAAGAGGAAGTACAAATTGATGGGTATCCAAAATAGCAACATAACCAACCAACAACCCATAACCAACAATAGCAAGTAAAGACCCTCACCATCGATTTGATAGTAACATCTGTATATGATATTTTTTGGCGAAATGGTTGGCCAGAGTGAGGGAGTCTACAGGAGGCAGATAAACGGACACAAAGGGAAAGAGACAAGGAGAGAAAAATGAGAGAGAGAGAGAGAGAGAGAGAGAGAGAGAGAGAGAGAAAGAGGTGTGTGTGTGTGTGTGTGTGTGGATGTTTTATTAAAGCTAGTGGTGCTAAAACAGCACATACTTCCTTGCCCCTTAGTAACGGTTCTGTAATAATATACCGCATATCAATTAAGAAAAATAAGTTTCATGACGAGTTTATGTACTTCTTTGAGAGTTATGCCTTTAATGTATTGTATCTTAGCTATAATAAATCGAATTCATTAAAATGCATCTGTTGTGATGGCATTAGAGTGGGCATAGCGTATTCAAAAGGCCCGCGCGGGCGTAAAGCATGTGAAAGACCCGCAAGGGCAAGACTTTGCCCACAGACGCCCGCAAGGCCCGCCACAATAGCGTTACTTTTTTCAACGCTCATTAACACACAGCAACGAACTACAGCGCCTCCGAGGTTAAGAATGACCTCATGGGCTTTTCCGGTAAATATTCCAAACTTTTTAAAATCTTCTTTAACATAATTTTTCATAACAATTATACTAGTAAAATTATACATCAAATATAAAATATATTTACAACAAATCGTGGTAAATATATTAAGAATGTATTTATTTTTCTAGGAAGGGATACGTTCGGCTGTTTGGTCAGCCACTACGATGCCACGTGCTTCGGCTTCTTACGGTTCGGAATCTTACGGGCTGAGAAAGTACGCGTTCCGGTAGTTTACCTGTATTTCGTTGATGTGATAGATTTCAGATTTATTGTTTGAATCATATTTAAATGTATTTTCGTTTACTTTTCTTGATTTGGATTTTTAGATTGTGATACATTTATTAATTTACAAATTTTTAAATTTCTTATCTTTTTTAAAAAAGAATTGAGAATGTGTGACCTACCATCTACAAAGCGCAAGCGTGGTAAAGTGCTTCATAGTGGGGAAAAACTAATAGTTGTTAATGTTTAGAACTATTTAAAAGGGAAGAATTCGGGCAAACTAGTACAATGGATTGCGGATGAAACAGTGGCCGCAGTCGTTGTAAGTTCAACAACTGGTTTTGCTTCAAGATGAGAAGCTGCCTTCAAGAAGCTGCTTCAAGAAGAGAGGAATAATTAAAACTCCGAATAAAACGAGGAAAAATCGAAGCATTAATGTCAAGAGATGGCGAGCAAAATATGACGACTTCGTGCGACGTGCAATCCGCAGGAAACTGCACAAGTTTTTTCTGAAGAATCCGCCAAAATCAAAAAGTCCCCCAATTTCAAGAAATCCAGTTTTCATCTTTCACTAAAAGAAATTGGATTTACGTATAGTAAGCGAGGAAATCTGGCACTGATAATTGAACGAGATGATATTATTTCATAGAGACATTTGTTTTTGTACCAAAATTTAAAAAAAAATAGAAATGAAAACGTGACATTCTCTATACTGATGAATCGTGGATTAACGCTGGAACTTCTGTTAACAAGGAATGGCAAGGCACCAGTGTAAAAACATCCGCGCAAGCATTTCTGTCAGGATCTTGTGCTTTGAGGGCGCCAACTGCTCGGGGTCCGCGTCTCGCTCTTGTGCGCGGGCAGTGAGCATGGTTTCGTGACAGAAAGGAGCCAAAGACGAGTTCCTTTGGAGGAAAAGAAAAAAAAACAAGGCGGATGCGCATGAAGAAGTTGATGCTGACAGATACGAGAAGTCCTTCGCTGAACAGCTGCTTCCAAATGCCCCTCGAATTCTGTTGTTGCACATGATGCATCGATCCACAGTCGCAAGAGGGGAAAAATCCTCAACATGTCGTGGAAGAAAAATTATATTAAGGATTGGCTTCAATCTCATGATATTGGTTTTGAAAGTCAGTTTCTAAAAACTGATTTGATCGAAATTGTGAGAACTGATAAAGATAAATATGAAGGGAACGTAATCGATGATATGGCGATAGCTGCAGGACACATTATTCTCTGATTGCCTCCCTTTCATTTCGAACTCAATCCGATTGAGAATGTTTGAGCTGAAGTTGCACAGTATGTTACAACGAACAATACTCATTTTAAATGAAAAATGTGAAACGTAACTTTCACAATGCATTCGCAGAGCATTGGAAAAATGATGTGGAGGTGTAAAGAAACTGGAAACTGAAATGTGGGGAGTGGATGAAAGGCAGGATGAAATCAGTGATACTGAAATTAATCTGGATGATAAAGTTCGGGATGAGCCAATGAAGAAGAGAACCGACATTACGGTACGTAATACACAATCACTTTTCTGGCGAGTGAATGCTTTGACGCAAATGTCGATCGGGATTCGTACTCAATGCCGCCCTCATTCCCGGCGCGAGGCAGCTCGATTTTCCGTAAATCAGATCTGTTCGTTTCTGTGGGCCTGGCTTATTTTACTGCCAGAAGAATTTTAAATATTTTGTTCGGTAATCAACACTTATTATTTCTTTGCTGTTTATAAGGGAATAAAAACTTTGACCTTTATGCAAGTGCATGCAGTTGGCGTCAATTTAAAATATTGTATTGAAATAGTAGCGCACTTTAAAATTAATATTCCTTTGTGGTTTCTTATCACACATTTCAAAACACAAAGGAGGAGAGAAGCTGAACAGAAATCCGTTTACTGTGTACCTGAGTTTCATAAGAATAGTTTTAGATTTGAGGAAAGGGAAGAAAATACGCTTTCATAATGTTACAAAGGTTAGAGACAAATTAATGTAGAGCTAAACTAGCACTCCACCCTATTGCGGGATTCTTCAGCTCTATCGAGCTTGTAACTTTTGGTTGTTACAGTGCAGCAGAAAGGCGCCACATCTGGCCTCACTGTCGCCGTAAGAGACCTACCTCAGACTCTCTATAGCCAGGCTGTCAGGCGTATTAGAAAATTGTGTATACATGTGTATCATTAGTTGCGTGAACAACTTGTACACTGAGTTTACACTCGCGTACGGATGGGACGTTTCATGGACGGATAGACAGATGGACGGACGGATAGACAGAGACGGATGGACGTTTAGCCGTACATTGGTTTTCGGTATCGAGGACACGAAACAGGGATTCTGGATACATCACGTGTTAGAGGTTTGTGTTTCTTTTTTAGCTATATTTGTCCACTGTTTCCGTATCAGGGCCAGGCAATGAATTTTTTCTGCTGAAAATTTGCTGCTTTTTCCCGCAGCATTAGATAACTTTCCTTATATTGCGTACACAATCCGTGTATACGTATGTATACGTATAACGTCTTCACGGGAGACAGTCTGACCCTGACAGCCGAGGCCAACAGAGCTGTATGAATAAAATCAATGGGGGGGGGCGGATTCATAATTTCAAAAATTGGTTGTTCTGATCGGAAGGAGGTTCCGACACCACATTGCAAATTCAGTCATTGCTGTTACGTCACTCTGACCGTAGTATAGAGAAAAATTGTTATTGCAAATATGTTTATTTTACAGAAAAACTAAAAAACAGAAAACTCGTGTTGTGCGGTACTTATCCCGAAAAAGTTAATATATCTTTACCTTTATTTGGTTATTTACTTCCTCAAGCATGCTGTGCAGTCAGAAACTACATTTTTGGGTGCTTGAGTACGAAAAATGGGTTTACGCGGCTGCCGTTCGTGATGAACGCTAGCGCTAAAACGTCAAGGCCCTTCAAATTTGTATTTGTGATTTTTTATTTATTACCATTTATCTTAATTGAAAATGAAAAATTTGAAAATGTAAAAAAATACTCCAAATGTTTGGTTTCAGAGCGATGTTAAACTTTAGAATGGCGGTATTTCAACACAGAATTTTGAGTTGTTGCATTTAGAACTGCGCTATCGAAATAGTGGCTTGTCTTCCGGATGAATATCGAGAAGTCAAAACTGAGGAACAGGCGTTCTCTCACATAAGAAAACAGCCTTTGAATTTATTTTTCCAACATAAAATCCATTATTGCCAATTTAGTGACAAAGGTTTACCAGTTTGACAAGGTAGGAAACCTTATATTTAAGGTAAAAAGTGTCAGAAAGGCTTACCAGTAAAGAAAACCTGTGATTTTATAATTTTCAGACATTTTCAATAACAATTCTTTATATTTTCTAAGTTCTGAAGTAGGCTTCCTTACACTTTTCATGTGCCCTTTTTAAAATATAATTAATTACAAGTTATGTATTGGAGTTTAAATTCTCGAAAGGAATTATGAAAAAATAGTACAATAGAATGTAAATATCGAAAAAGAGTTCAAAAAGGGATTACTTCTCTAAGAGCACTTGCATTCTTAAAAACGTACTTCTGGTAACTCTAGTCCGAGTGTTTTCAAACGGTGAATCCCGCCTCCCAGTTGCGTTGCGGGCTTAGGGGCGTTGCGATGATTTATTAAAAACTTAGATTTCATTTACTTTGACTTTTCCATTAATGTTCACAAAATAATTTTGTTCTATGTTACTATATATATGATTTATTTGACTAATTAATTATGGATTAACTGAACATGGAAAGGCCTTTACCAAAAAGCTTACGTGGCTTCTTTAGCATCGACTAGCGCTCGTCCCTAGCGCTCGTCGCGGCCGGGGGCATTTAATCTTCCCACCCACGCACATCAAGTTCTCGGGCCTATGCCAACTGTGTCCAACCTCTGTTGGCTCAAGATCGAAACTGAACGTCTAAGAAGGATTACGAGTCGCAGTTTCAAATATTGAACCGAAATTGGAACAATTGTTAATGAAGAAGCAATCTCATTCCTCCGGTAAATTTTGAAAGAATTTTCTCATTAAATAAAAGCATCAATTATATGTGGTTATGTGTTATTTTAATATCTAATTAGAATGGAGAAATAAAATAGCTTATTTACATCACTTACTCACTTGTATTGAATCTTTAGTAGACTTATGCTCACCCTTATATTTTTGAAACTTATGATTATCAGGGGTGTCACTGGAAGTTTTGTTCACGTCAAGGGAACCTTGGATGAAAAAGTTTGAAAAGCTCTGCTCTAGACAAAGAAACAGTGTTAGATTTCACACTCAATTCAAGAATGTTAAGTGTGCTTGATGTTATTTCATCAACATTGTAAGGTGGAAGACGAATGTGAAACACACACATACACACATAGGTCCTATAATGATTAATATTGCCTACGCGGCGCCGCGCGGGGGCCGCAGGCGCTTCGCGGGACTCACGGTTCGACGCCCTGGCGCGGCCGGCGGCCTCTCTGCTGGCAACGCGGTCGCTGGCCCCTGCAGGTGCTGCGCTGCCCCGACCTGCTTCTCCGCCGCCGCCGCCCGCTCGCGCCTCTTAAGTCGTCGCCCGGCGCCGCCTCCCCCCCCCCTCGGCACCGCAACGCGCCGGGTGGGGGTTCCCCGCGTCCACGCAGGAAAATGCTGCCAGTGCGCGGCTTCCTGGTCACTTCTGTTTTATTCTGTTACATGCAATCGATTCCTTGGAAATGCGTCACGGATATTGGGCTCTTTATAACGTTTCCTTCTACCTACCATAATATTGTCAATATCCAATAACTAAATTACTGTGAAGATGCGAATGCTCCAATGCAATCAAGTTCTCGAGTACATCCCAAAGACAGAATTTAATAAATTTTGGATTTATGACCATTCTCAATAAAATCAAATAACAATTGTAGCTGCTGATCGCTCGTAATAATTTTACAGAGAATTTTACTTTCTCATTTAAGAAGTGCAAATTATTGTAACGCTTCTCTAAGCTGGTACTAAGAATGACATACATTCTCGTAATAATTGCGGGAATTCCTTCACTTCTGAGGCGGGACTATCTTTACAGCATTCCCCATTCCTTCTCGACTGGCATTCTAACAGTGAGTACAGGTTCTACGAGTACGACGGCCGCCCGCAGCAACGCAGCCCGCTCGCGCTCGCCGGGCAGGCGCTGTGCAGAGCGCCAGGGCCAGGGACTGCGGAAGAGGAGCGGCAAAGGCCCTCGACGCCACATTGCGAACTTGGAACGTCCCTGCACTGCTGGAGCGCATCCCTTCATATCACTGAACTGTTTGTTAAGATTTTGTTAAATAATAATATCATGAAAATTAGTAATATTTATAAAACAAATTGCAATTTTCAATGCAGACAAGGTAAATTATGGCCATGTAAAGTTATCAGTTCCCAAACAAATCCAGAGCACCAAAAAAAGGATGCAAAGAATGTGCTTTGCACATGTAAATCTCTTTCTCTCAAAGACACTAACCATTCGTTGCATCGTGGGGACAATGTCAACAAAGTTTCTTAACCTATAAAATATTTAAATCTAGCACTCAATATTGGGCAATTTTCTAAAACTTGAAGGAAATTATAACTTAATTTTAGAAAAGAGAATTTAGAATAAGAAGAATTCTAGAATTTAATATAAAAGATCGTCTCAATTAACACTGGTTTAGCTTGCTTTCCTTATTTACAATGGGGAAATTATTTTTATAAAGAAACTTATATATTTTTTCAGATATTCTTAATTTTTCGGTCCTTTGATAGTTAAAAATGAAATAAGATCTATAATATCTTACATGTGATTTAGTGCAATGTGCTCTATTCATACAAAATGTGTTAAAAAATGTGGACAACTTTTTTGAGAAAATCTTATTTAAGTGCTTTTTTAACATTTCCCATATATTAATAAAAATTACGCAAAAAATGTTCACATTAAAAATATATACGAGAAATAATTCAAGTTTCAATTTTGAGAAACATATTTCATTAAAAACTCTGCCTCAATCACTACTGATGATAGAGGCAAAGAAATGTATGTTTTGAATTGACAAATATAAGTTTTATTGAAAATCGGACATGTACAATTTTTAAAACCAACTATGTTCAATTTTAGTTCAATTGTAACAAAAAACTGAAAAGGCAAAACTGAAAACCATTTGTTCACCAAAATGTCAAAAGAAACATTATAATAATTGAAGACAACACGATGGTTATATTATTTCCACATGAAATGACTCGCCTGTACTATGTGCACATGTTAGCTCAATGGTCCATCTCGATATTTTTAGGTCACTTTTTAACTATTCGGTCATACAACGATCACTGTGATTGTTTTAACTGTAGAAGAACACGTAACAACAACACACACATCCATGCCTAAGGCGGGATTCGAACCTGCGGCCCTTCAGTTTTAGCAACTTCGGCTCTCCAGGCCGGCCATCGCGATGACTACATTTATTCTGGATATATAAAAGTAATTCCTCACTTACATAGACAGATTGCACAATGATTTCACGCACTCCGATCAAGGCAAGAGATTCTGGTAGTGTAGTAAAAAATGATCCTCAAAAAGTATCGCAGGAAGCACATTAATAATTAATAAAATAACACAAAATTTACGCTTATTAAAAGAAAATTAAGTGCAAGATGCTTTTCTATCTTTTTAAGAGCCCCTTTTCTTATACATGTTCGCCGACAAATTAATCTGATAATGAAGCACTCTCATTTACAAAACTTTTTACTTTCCCGTATACATACGTATATATGGAATAATATACGCAGTATACGGAAAGTTATGTAATGCTGCTGGGAAAAACGACGAATTTTCAGCAGAAAAATATCATTGCCGGGCTCTGATAACGAAAACGTGAATAAATCCAGTTGTTAAATTAAGAAAAAAAATCTTTGCGTCTTAGCAAAACGTCTGTCTGTCCGTCCATCTGCCTGTCTGTCTGTCTGTCTGTCTGTCTGTCCGTCCACCCGTCTGTCTGTCTGTCTGTCTGAAAACCCTAGTACAACGCCTAAGCCATGACAAGAATTTTTTTCCAAATTGATGAAACCCCTGTCCATGTGGCTCGAGACGAAACTTTGAGATTTTGAAAAATATCCTTTAAAATTTGGGGATTCACTTTCCTAACAATTTCAAAATTTTCTCAAAAATGGTTCAATTTTTTTCTTTAAATTTCTTGTACGAATATAGTAAAATACATTTATAAAGGATGTATAGGTTCGATTTTCCCGTCTAACTCTCAATTATTTAAATTTCAAAAGTTTGAATTTTTGTCGGTGTCTTCCTAATATAAAATTGAAGGTAGAGATTTTTTCTTGAAATAAAATTTGTTCTCTATAGCGAGTTCTTTTATGAGGGGCAGGTACATTTGTTTGAAAAGTTTAGTAGTTTTCGCGCAATACTGCGTTCAAAATGTGCACTTTAAAAAAATTACAAAACAAGATTTTCTCAAAAACCGCTGCAATTTTTTTCTGTGAACTTTTGGTAGCGATAGTGCTAAATGCACTCTAGGAAATGACATAAACGTCATGTTCATCTATTTTTGACTTGTCTCTCATGTCGTTAATATTTACATTAGCGGCAATTTGTTCACATTATTATATTTATGCATACATGCTTTAATTAATGTCGTCGACAGTTTCTCCAAATCTCAACAGTTTTCTGTGAAAATGGGCACAAAATTCCGCATTTTCAGAGACGCTCAAACGCCATTTTGCCATAAATGGTTCCAATTTTTTTCTTCAAACTTTCGAACTGATAGTGTTCATTGGACTCTTCAATATGACGTAAAATTCATTATGGAGAATTTTTTTTTTCAAAAATTTCACAAATGTAATTTGTTTCAAAAATCTCCACGACGTTATAAATGCACATTTTCAGCAATTTTTAACACTATTATACATGTATGAGTTAATGGGCATCAAATTAAGTTTTTAAAAAAGTCAAAAAAAGCTTTAAATTTCTTGTTTACAACAGCGCTTAAACGCCGTTTTCCTTAAAGCGACCCCCAATTTTTGAAAGAATATTGCATTTTAGGACGAAGTTTTACTGTTATTTAATATTTTAAAAATATATTTCAGTTCTACTTTTAGGAACCCGAAAAATTTAGTTGTCAAAAAAATGTATTTTGGGCTGCGAGAGATGGCAATTGGCAAGAGTATGTGGCAATTTCGTGTAGCTAGCCGAGACCAAAGGAAATAGAAAATTAATACGGGAAAGTCTGTGCCATTCTGTATCACCACTAGTAATTTTCTCTCTACTGACTTATGCAGTACGCTGTATAGGGGAAGTGTTGTAATGCTGCGGGAAAGAAAATAGTAAATTTTCGACAAAAAACTTTTTGGCCGGCACATATAACGAAAAAGTGGATAAACCATGTCCCTACACTTCTACAGTATATTACTTCCTCTGGCATACGTATAAGTTAATGTAACAAGTAATGCTACAAAATGGCACAGCCTTTTTGTAGTAAACCCGCCTTTACTTACTTTTATCAACAAACTATTTGAAATCAAGAATGCCAAATACAGCCTAATCATTGACTGTAAGCTTCTTTCACTACTCTTTCATTTCTCAATCTCTTACCTCTTAGCGGATTCTCGTTTGGCATTTAACTGCTGATATATGTACGCAGTTAATTGAGTAATTACATTAAATTATTAAACGCCAATAATCGCAATATATTCGTTTGTAATCAAAAACATTTAGGAAACCCATCTCAGTATTAAAACTATTCCATGAAATTAAATCACTACGTAATATGACGACACTCATACTACACTGTGTCACTCTGGCAATTTTACACCGATGAATCACTTTATTAATTAAAATAACCTCCAAAAGTTTGCTGCCATGTTCATCCTAATCAAAATAATCACATTGCTAACTAACATTCTTGTGTTGGTAATCAATTTCAACGTAAACCATTTGCCAATTATTAAGAGAGCAAATACAAAAAAATCACATTTTCAGTAATTTTTATAAAAATTTGACAAAAAGATTCAAGACAAAATATTAACAAAAACATTTCAGTTCACGTGATGGCTTACTATACGGTTTTGCGCAATAAATCTTTTTTATTCCATGTTTGATTTCCGAATTATATTCTGTGTTTGACCACGAGCTCAATACGAAGGTAATTTTGAAAGTAAAATGTTGTGATTAATGTCATCAAAAGCTTTTGAAAGATATAAAAATATTCCAATAGGTGTTTCGTTTTGATCCATGGATGAGGCGACATCTTTAAGAAAAGTACATATGGCTGTTTCCATTGATTGTGATTTTCGAAACCCATGTTGGCGCGTCGTGTTCACTGAAACAGGTTTCTATTGGTAAGCAAGAAAGGCTCCCTAATATTTTTTTAAGAAATTGGCCAATAATTTTGTATTTCATTTTTGTTGCCTTTTTTGAAACTGGCTTAATCTTAGCTGTTTTAAAAATATCTGGAAAGGTCCCTGAGCATAAAAATACATTAAATGTGTGAGTTAACGGGTGCATGATGGCGGGCGCAGAAGTCTATAACAAACAATCCGGAAATTCATCCAAACAGGCTGAATATTTATTTTTTAGTCTACCAATTATTTTTAAAATCCCATAGGAAGAAGTTTCGGAAACGAACATCGTGTCCTTTTTTGTATATTAAGTGGGTTTGCTTTAAGTAGTGTAT